CGAGCTCATTACCTAGCCCGTTGGCGGCTGCCGGTAAGGGCACGGCGGATAAAATCGCCACGGAGAGCTGACGCCGCGTCAGCAGCGGCCTCCAGGCGGCGGTCGGCTGCGCGAGCAGAGGGAGCAGGGCAATAACTCGCTGGGCTCTCATCGCCGGGCGACAGTGAGTGCACGTGATGGATTTCTTTTTTTGATTTTGGCCTGTGTCTTCAGAATAAGTCGTACTCGCCATCCTCCTCCTCTGTCCCCATTTGTTTGCCCCGCATCACGAGCGTCGCTCGCGCCGCCTCGCTGCGCCGCGCGAGAATGCGCTTGGCTGCCGACCCGCTGACCGCACGATCTGCCTGCGCCCTCCACTGGAATTCGTAGGCAGCATAGGCACCGGGTCTGGCAGCACCGGCTCAGCGCCGCGCCCCGCAGTCGGTGCGAGCAGGGAATGTTCCCGCTGACGCTCCGCTGCAGCCTCCAGTCGCCGTGCGGCCTCCGCACTCTCGGCGTCTGAGGGAGGGTGTAGAGGATGTAGAGTGTAGAGCGCTGTAGAGCTGTAGAGCTGGAGAGCGCTGTAGAGCTGTACAGCTCTACATCCGGCGCGTGACGATGTGAGTCCGATGTAGAGCGATGTAGAGGCGCTCTACAACGTGAGAGAGAGACATACAACGTAAAATCTCTACAACAAACTCTACACCATAAGCGGCGAACGAGAGGCACGGTCGCTCTCCGACATATGAGGCGCGTTGCACTTGCCAGTGCTGCCCTGGCCTTCTGTCTGCCCGCCCAATGGGTGGCAGGTGCCTCTGCTGCTGTGACATGCCTCACGGCTGCGACTGGCCCGCGCCTCGGCGCGTCAGCTCGGCTCGGCGTAGCGATAGTGGCCAGCGCAACTCGCCTGGACTCAACGCTCAGCCAGGAGCTCCCGCACGCGCTGGCGCGAGTCATGGCGCATGCAACGCTCAACAATGATCGCCTCGCCTCGCGCAAATGCGACCGTCCTCGCAGCCGACAGTCCACCGCCTGCTAAAGAAGCACAGCGACGAATGCGGCACCGGCGACGCATGGCAGGCTGGTCATGACGCAGTTATAGGGTGTTGTGTGCCGTCGGAGTGACTATCTGTGTGTCAGGGATAGTCAGGGCCGTCCACCAGAGCTCCAGTAAGCTCGGAGACACCCCATTAGCGCGGCTCGACCTCTTTGAGTCACTGCCTTCCCAGCGGTTTGGCTGTAGAGCCTCTACAACAAACTCTACAGCAAAATCGCGCTCTACATCGCTCTACAT